ACTTTGATAAAAGTCAATTTAGTTTTTGTATAATATTTGATAAACGGGCATTGGCGGTTTATATTTAAATAAATAAATATAACTTTTTGAGCACGATTTAAATTGTAAATTTTCATTAACTTTTTTTCATAATAAAAGTTTTAAACACATTAAAATTTTTTTTTAACAAACAATTTTGAATTATCTTATGTTTTTCTTTCTAAATAAAATTGTTACTTAAAAAGCATTATAAAATTTTTAATTATCAATGCAGAATATTAAATAATTAAAAAATTTATTAATCAGGGAAACCGAAAAATTAGTCAGGAAATGTCAGAGAATTCTTAAAATAAAATTTTCCATCCACCCTATTATTATTAATTTTATAATTTTTAATATTAAAAAACAAACTACTTATAAAATAATTAAATATTTAAAATATTTAAAAAAATGATTTAAATAAAAAAAATGAATTTTTTAAAAAAGTCATGATTTTTATCAGCCCTGCACTATACAAATAATTGACAGCTTTGATGTCGGAAATAAACTTATATGACCTGGTCGCCTATAGAAAGGGATTTTAAAATAGTAGAATAAGTAATTATTGTTTTATAATAGAAAATTTATTAGCTCCAAATTTCTTTTAATATCTCATATAATTGAGGAATAAAAAAACATAATTAAATTAATTATTTTGATACAAAGGAATAAAATAAATAAATTTTTATAGACAAGAAAACATGATTAAAGATAATTTAACAAATATATAAGGTAAAAATTAATACTTTTTTATGATTTTGTAATTAATAATTAATTTTTGATTTTATATAATTTTCCAATTACTAATTAACTAATTTTCCAAAATAATACAAAAATATTGAATAAATTTTAGAAATAATTTAATTTTTTCAAAATTCTGTATATTTGTCATTTTTAATATTTTTATTAATTATACAATTTATTAAATTGTACCTCTAGAGGTACTAATTAGCAATTTTAATTTTTAATCATTTTAAAAAATTATTTTCATGAATAACAAAATTAAAAAATTTTTTTTTTCATATTTTTCGTTTTAATTTAACATATTTTATATTATGTATATTTTTATAAACAAAAATCCCTTTATTTATATTCATTCTATTAGTTTTTATTACTGCAAAATATTATTTTTATAATTTTCAACAAAATAAAACTTACTGCCCTGTTTTATGATACTGTTATGCCTTTACGTAGGCAACCCCGCCTTACTCCACCTTTCGGTGCGGACATTTTTTTCTCAAATCAAGTCATCTACATCAGTAAATTGTCATCGTAATAACCATATTGTGGCTCGTAGAAACATCGTATCGAGACAAAGTAAATTTTTACTAATTCTTTATTTAATTTCATTTTAAGGTAAAGAGCCCTTTTTTTGAGAAAGTGTCAAATTATTTTATAAAAAATTGTCAAAGTAAAAAGTTTTGTATGAAGCAGTTGAAAGTGTTGGATAATTTAAATGGAAAGAGAAAAAGCAGAAACTTATAAAAAAAGGAGGCTTTTTATTGTGATTATATATGAAATAACGATTTAAGAAAAAATTTGTTTTTAATAATACGATTTTTCAACGAGCGTCAATATTGTTTTCGCTATACAAATTGACAGTTTCAACATAAAAAATAAACTTATAAATTGGTCGCCTATTGAAAGGGGCTTCAAAATAGTAGAATAAGTAATTATTGTTTTAGAATAGAAAATTTATTAGCGATAAATTTCTTTTATTATCTTATATAATTGAGGAATAAAAAAACATAATTACATTAATTATTTTTATACAAAGGATTAAAATAAATAAATTTTTATAGACTAGAAAACATGATTACTAATAATGTAACCAATATATAAGGAAAAAAATAATACGTATATTTTTACGGTTTTTTAATTAATAAATAATTTTTTATTTTTTATAATTTTCCAATTACTAATTGATATTGATATTGATTGATATTTACGCCCATAGAAACATCTAATCGTCATAAGAAAATTTGTTTTATATTCTCTATTAAATATTATTTTTCCCTAAATCGCCCTTTTTTTCATTTTCTGTCTGAATTTTTAAAAATTAATTATCAAAGAAAAAAATTACACCAAAAGAGGGGAAGTTTCCGACTTTGATAATTAATTTTGAAAAATTCAGACAGAAAATGAAAAAAAGGGCGATTTAAGGAAAAATAATATTTAATAGAGAATATAATTCAAACTTACTTATGACGATTAGATGTTTCTAGGAGCGTAAATATAAATCCGCGTTTTACAAAACAAAGCAACAGCTCGATGTAGGCCTTTGCCGACCATAACAGGTTGCACCATTTTCGTGTTGAAAGTATTTACGCTATGGTAATGTAGGGACGTAGATGATCAACAAAAATAATAAGTCATTACTTTTATTATTTAATATTATATAAATAATTATATTTATTTGTTTATTTATCTATTATTATTTATTATTATTCTTACATTTTAGAAATATTATAATGGAAAAGTATAAAACAAAGTAATGTAAATTTTTTATGAAAATATTATTAAACATAATTTTTGTCATAAAATTGGATCTTTTTTATGAAAAAAGTCCTTTTTCTGAAACACGGAGGTACTCAGAATTTATTTCCAATTATGAAAACCATTTTTGTCTTGAGAAAACGACGTTGATGTTTGCAATTTTTTTCTAACAATTTTTGAAGTAGATTATTAAATTTTCGTCTTTTTTCAATACATTGCAGCTTTTTTTTTTATTAAAAAAGGGCATTTTTTGACATTTATTTTTCTAAATAATTTCATATCATAATTTTTATTGATGAAAAATAGAAATACAGAAAAATTAAGATTAAATTTTGATCAGAAATTAAATAAGTAAACAAATAATTTTCCATATAGAAAAATTGAATAACAATATTATTTTTAGAATTTTCAGTTTAAAAACAAAGATTTTTTTCAAAACAATACTTCTATAGGTAATTATGAAAATCATCGATTTCATTTGGAATTCTTTTCATGGATTTAAAAACATATTTTCTACCAAATTACGCGTGTGTTTCGAAATCCACCAATTTTTAAGAAAAATGATAATTGAAAAAGGGTCAAAATATTTTCTGTCCGCTTTTATTTTATGACCGTTGAATTCCTTATAAAAAATTACTTTAAAACTAATTTTGTGGAATATTTAAATTAGATTTTTCATATACTTAAAAATATCAATAATAAAAATAACAATAAAAAATTTTTAAAATTATACATTTCATAATTTTTTATTATTTACTTTTTTTTTGTTTAGAAATTTTATTTGTTTAATAATTTTTTCATAAAAAATTTTCCTTTATTGTTTTAATACTTTTCCATAATAATATTTTAAAAAAGTAAGTAAAATAATAAATAATAATAGATATAATAACAATAATAAATAAATAAACAAATAATAAATGTAATAGTAAACAATGAGAGTATAATTGACATTTAATATTTTTGTTCCTCACGTTCATTTCTACTGTACTACGCAAACGGTGCAACCTGATATAGTCGGCCATGGCTAACCTCCCATATTGAGCTGTCAGTTTGCTATGTTTTGGAAAACGCGGATTGATATTCACGTCCATAGAAACATCTAATCGTCATAAGAAAACTTGTTGAATATTCTCTATTAAATATTATTTTTCCCTAAATCGCCCTTTTTTTCATTTTCAATCTGGATTTTTTTTAATTAATTATCAAAGTCAAAAAATTTCACCAAGATGGACGAAAAAAGGGGAAAAGAGTGGAAGTTGAGGAGAAATCGCTTGCTACGCCTATGCGTACTTTTAAATATTTCCCACCGTGCAGCGTCCTTAACCGGAAATATTTAACTTTTAAAAATTAAAATTTTGGAAAATAAGACTTTTTTGAAAATTTTGTTGAAAAATGTAGAAGTTTAGTTTTGTTTTGTATTTAGTTTTGTAGAGTTTTTTCAGACGCATCTTTTGAGCCCTAATTGAACATTTTTCGTCCATATTAACCGGAGATATTAAACTTTTAAAAATCTAAGATTTTGAAAAATAAGACTTTTATAAAATTTTTTTTAAATTATGTAAAAGTAACTTCAAAAAATTATTACCAACTTGAAGAGCATTAACCCTTTTGTAAAAAGTAATTCTTATATTTCAATTATTATTATTTCTATGAGGAAGCAAAGTGTTCATGAAATGAACACCAAAATTATAAAAATGTACAACTTGGCAGCGGTTTTTTATGATCACCTTTAACCACAAAGCATATAGATACGGAAGCGCCTACGCGCCACGAGGCAAAGAGAGGAACCTGTTTCTGCTAATGTCGTTTTAGCTTGTGAAACATATATATGAATACTTGTCATTCTTAAGATGGGACTATGCATCTCAAAATCGAAGCATTTACTTTGTCAAGCATATGCTTAAGTTGCGGCTTGAGGCCTTTCTCCAATAGGTTTTAAAAAGTGTGCGAATGACTGCGTTACGTTGATTTTAGCATGTGTTGCTATAGCAACCGACGCAGACGCAGTCCTTCGCACACTTTTAAAACCTATTGGAGAAAGGCCTTTAAAGGCCAACGCAGAATAGATCTGTAACCGGAACCGCAATCGTTACTGTAAGCGTAAGAATGAGTTAGAGAAGGATATACAATATACCTATCCTTCTTTAACTCATTCTTACGGTTACGCTTACGATTGCGGTTCCGGTTAAAGATTCTATTCTGCGTTGGCCTTAAGGCAATGCTTATTGCACGACTATGAATCTAGGTGGCAGCTTAAGTCGCTGCTTAAGAAATAAGTATCGACTATGAATACCGCCCTAAGAAAACATTTCTGACATCACTGTATAAATGCCGTACCCTGCTGGAAGTAAAGAGATATGCAAGCGCCTAGAGGTATGACCGTACCTTTATAATGAAAATGGCACATTTCAGATGTTGAATACTCGCATGCAAAAATGCGCAAGCCTGGAATCTAGTTACTTTGGTTTGTCTCTTTACAGTAAAGCAGTTACTCCTTAATGTTAATATTCGACGGTTGTCTTTGGAGCGTTTGTGGAAGGGGAGATTTACATTTATTAGTTTTTTTCACAATTTTGTGTACTGTGCAAAACGCTCAATTGGATTTAAAAAAATTTTAATCAATCAATTAAAGTCTAAATTAACCAATGTGAATAAGTTATGCGTGTATATTGTGTTGATAAGTTAAAAAATTTTTGCAATTTTCTATGTTGTGCATAGAAATGAAAATGCGCAACGGCGCGCGGCCGCGGTGTATTTAAGTGTTATTCAAGTTTTCTAAATTGTGAATTCATTCATTGATCGAATGTAGCCTACTAGTTTTTGTAATAAATTTTATTCAAATATAGACTTGAGAATAAATCGAAAAAGAAAAAAAAAATTAAATTGTGCCTCTCCGTGAGAATAGCTGAGGAAAAAACGAGTTCGCGTCACTACACAACTCCGAAAGGTGTGCGATCTCCTTCCATGGTGGGGAGCCGTTTTCGTAGTTTGTACCTCGCGGCCGCTAGTCGCCAGCATCGTTCAGCAACACTTTTTCGACAGTCGGCGCTCGTCAAAATGAAAATGGCGGAATTAACTAGTCACTAAGAGGAACAATGCTCATTTAATGTCCAGTAGTTTTTTTGATTGTTTGCAAAAACAAAAAATTCCTTTCACGATGCTTTACTTTCAAGTAGATTCAATAGTCTAGTGATTAATTTACAGTGTTTTTTGATGAAAACAAAAAAAAATTGTGTGTGTGTGGACTTTTCTGCTGATCGAAACTGTATATCATTAAAAGAAAGTTTTGTATTTGTGTGTTTGACATTTGGAAAAAATTTGTCGTTTTTATTTTCATGAAAATTTTCGAGTGTTTAAAAGTTATTTAAAGTTTCGATCGTTGAGAATTGTCTCATCTCGTCTGAACTCGAGAACACGGCTTCTCGGGGACGAGACGAGACATGAAGTGACACGCCAGGTGGTAACTGTATCGCCAAATCGCTACGTTATTCTTCAACTACAGGAATATAACACGTTAGGTTAGGCAAGAACAGCCTTCTTCATGCCGATGCCGGCCGAATACCACGAGAGCCACGGTAACCACGAGAACGCCAATTTCGCTCTCGGGTCCACGCAGCAGGACGCCAGCAACATGACGGCCAACATGTACCGGGTGGGAGGTATGCAACTCAATTTTTCCAAGGCACCTGTTTGCCCAGCTCTCTTTTGCTTAAATTCAAAGAAAAACATTAAATTCACATTACTACGATTATTGAACAAGCAATTAAAACCACTACCCCTAAGATTTAGTCTCGAAGTGAAATCAATTTTACCGGTAAAATTTCTATTGTAATTAACATTAAATATTGTTTTAACTGAACGAAAAAGAGAATTTCCAACTTAATTTAATAAAATTGAAGCGTCCCCAACGTTAATTTCAGAATTTCCTATGTGAGCTCTATCTCATTTTACCCTTCTCCCAGGCTCTTTGCCTTCCTTTTCGCATTTGTATCTTTTCCCCTTTACCCACCCTCCACAAAACGGGAAAGAAAATAAAAAACGATTAATTTTTCTACACCTGCAAGGAATATGTAAAATCTTTTCTATTTTTCAGCACTAATTTATTAATATCTTGCTTAAATAATGTATATTTAAGCATTTCTGATTTGTAAATTGAAAACATTGATTGCGACACTTTTACCCATCTCTCTGCCACCCTCTGTTTAATTCTGAAAGTCACCCTCTTGCCTCTACCTCCCAACTTGGAGTCGCTCGGCGCGTTTTCAACTTCATAGCTCGTCTACAGTAAATGAGTTTTTTTCTTTCAAATTGAAACTTTTTTTGTAATTGAAAAACTACAAACATTTTTTTCTTAACATTATGAACGGAAGTTGTGAAAATTGTTTTAATGTAAATCCTACTGATAAATCAACATTCAATGAAAGCGGAGCGACTTAATAATCTACTCAGTGCATTAGTATTTAACAAAAAAATTTATTTTTCAGCATTCAACTCAATTGGCCAATACCTATGACGAATGATAGTTTTGTGATATTGAAGAATACATTACACGCTAAAAAATTGCTATTTGCTACTCAACTTTTTCTTAGTACTTTTGTACGAAAGGGCTCGTTTGATGTCCGTGTATGTAACGAAATAAATTAATTAATTATGAGAAAATGGAATCATTAATTTAAATAAATACTTACGAAATGTAGAGTCCTTGCGATAATCTTTTATGTTTTCTTTATATTTTTCTTCTTTCTTCTTGGTAAACATAACAAAATTAGAAACTAAAATTCCCATTTTGCAAAATTTTGGGATTTTTGAATGTTGATATCTGAGGCATTTCATTTCAAACCATTCCACCGATAAAAAACAATCGCAAGGAGAGCGAGTTTCTAATAAATTTTATTATATAAAAATTTAATTATTTGTAACATATTATACATTGAATCGAAAGAGAATTTCATAAACTTTCTAGTACTATTTTTTATGTTTTTTAATTTCGTAGAGAAATTCCTGTTTGAAAGTTTAAACTCTTAATATCTCAAAACACCCCCCGTCAATTTTTATCAAAATTATATGAAAATAAAGCTTAATTTTTCTAGTTTCCATTTCCGTATAATATATTATGGACATTTAATGGGATTAGTAAAAAAAAATTGTTTAAAAAATGTGTTTTTGAAAATTTTTTTTTAATTATCCCATTAAATGTCCATAATATATTATACGGAAATGGAAACCTGAAAAATTAAGCTTTATTTTCATATAATTTTGATAAAAATCGACAAGGGGTGTTTTGAGATATTAAGAGTTTAAACTTTCAAACAGGAATTTCTCTACGAAATTGAGAGAAATTTAAAAAAATAAATATAGCACTAGAAAATTCATGAAATTCTCTTTCGATTGAGTGTATAATATGTTACAAATAATTATATTTTTTTGTAATAAAATTTATTAGAAAATCGCTTTCCTTGCGATTGTTTTTTTTTCGGTGGAATGGTTTGAAATGAAATGTCTCATCTTCTTTACAGAAAAATAAAAAAATGCTTTTACGTATATTTTAATTAATAATCACTTTATAAACATACACTAAAATTTTCGCTTTGGTCCGAGTCTATACTTTCTCTAATAAACATATTTTTAAAATAGTACATTTTTGAAAGATATGTAATGCATGTAACTTTTTCAAAGTTGAAGTTGGTTTACCATGAATAGTAATAATAAACCAACATCAACTTTGAAAAAGTTACATGTATTAACCTTAAAAAAATGTACTATTTTTAAAGTATTTATATATTGGAGAAACTATACTACCGGTCAAAATAGAGAGACCACCCATTTTCAGGTGAATAAGCAACATTTTAAAACAAAATTTATGGAAACAAAAATTTTTTTCTTTTCATTTTTTTAAAGATGATACAATTTTTAAAAGAACAAGATATTTCAGAAGTCATTTAGCCAATATACAATAACAACCGCTGCGCTTGGTTGTAGGGGATAGTACACGGAAAAAATTCCGGGACATTAGATGCGCCGAGGACAGTGTCAACAGCAGTACATTTCATTTTGCACGTCTGAGGTGCCATTTCGAGATATCAGACGTACATAATGCACGTCAGATACCCCAAACTGGCACAGATGGCGTGCAAAATAAATGTAGAAGAAAATTTGACACAACCTGTACATCTGACGTGCCGAAACTTTTTCCGTGTACCAGTCAGGTAGCAGTGAACAGCCCAGAGGCTCTCACTGCTGTCTGGCTGCACGGAGAGAAAAAAAAGAGAGCCGTTTGATTTGTCAAGAGAGCGCTGTTTTCCCTTTATAAAGCGCAGCAGTAGCGCCGCAAACGTCGAACGGTTATACTTTTTGAGGAGTATCGGTTCTCTTCTCCACACAAATAGAGCCGCTTACTTTCCAAAAAGTGTACCCGCTTTCCGTAAAAAGGAGAACCGTTCTCCCCTCGAGAGTAAGCAGCGTGCTTAACCTCAAGTTAAACGGCTGTTTCGCATTTAACGCAACCGCTCTATAGGCCAGTCGGTGAGTGCAAAAAGTGCACATAAGTGCAACCTGAAAAGTCAAAGCAGTTTCTTGTAGTTTGAGGGCCCCAAATAAGAGCCCCATAGTTTGCACCACATTTCCGGTTGCGAAAAATGGTGTAAACAATCGCCAAAGTTCGAAAAACATGGTTTTTCGATGACTGTTGCTTCCGGTTAAATTTTAGGGGAAAAAGTTGTGATTGAAAGTTATAGAGCTTGGAAATAGCTTTCAAATGATTGGTCGCAAGTTAAAAAAGCTTAATTAGTCTAGTTGCAAATGAATTTAAACCATTAAAAATAGCACTTTTTTAATTGTTTAATAACTTTGTTAATAATTATCGAATTTGTTTCTAACTTCCCAGAAATATTCCCCTTACGAGGCTGAATAAATCCCAAAAAAAATCAACTTGATCGGGTAAATAGTTTATGCATAATTCCATTTGTTAACTAAAAACATATAATTTTTCAACGGAATTTCCCCACTTTTGGACCTGCGAATTTCGTTTTTTTTTCTTGGAGAGTACAGTTAAGGAGTCTTACTTTAATTCCATTTAAATGGGAAATTGATTTTTTTTATTTAAGTGCATAATAATAGACGTTAAAAAAGGGTATGTTTTTTGACATAAACAAATGGAATAACTCGGCCAATTTTCACTTTATCGATTTCGTGTAAAGGGCATTTGATTTTATTTGTTTTCACAAAACTTTTCCAAAAAAAAAATCCAATCTAACTTCAAGAGGTAGAGAGTTAACTTTTTTTAAAAAAAAAAATTCCTGTCAAGTTAATTATTAATGTTTTTTATTGAAATTCGCACCACTTACAGTTTAATACATGTATTTTATGTAAAAAAATTAAACATAAGGTTTTGTGCATTTATTTTTAATTTATAACAAGTAAAAGTAAATGTATCCATTTTTCAACCTCTGAACGGCGGAGTGGGGGTACTCGGAGGAGCGTGATTCTTGCCGCCACAACTGAATTCAGCCGTTCAAATTTGCAAAAATGGTCATAACTTCGTTAATTATTTACCGATTTTTATCTTTCTTTTTTTAATTTGATGTATTTTTTTACGCCGAATCCAAAAATGATTTTATATGTTTTCAAATTACAATATTTTTAATAATAAAAAAGAAAAAATTTTTAACAACAAATTTTTAATTATTATTTATTATATTTGACAAAAAATTCTTTTCGTACATATAATTCCATTGAATTTAAAATAATATTATGACATAAAAAAATTAAAATTAATTATATATAAGCTTGTAGCATCAGGTTCACATATGCACGCCTGTTCAACTATCAATACAACAATGCTACACACTTATAAGTAAATAATTTTATTTTTTTTATGTCATAATATTATTTTAAATTCAATGGAATTATATGTACGAAAAGAATTTTTTGTCAAATATGATAAATAATAATTAAAAATTTGTTGTTAAAATAAATTTTCTTTTTTATTATTAAAAATATTGTATTTTGAAAACATATAAAATTATTTTTGGATTCAGCGTAAAAAAATACATCAAATTAAAAAAAGAAAGATAAAAATCGGTAAATAATTAACGAAGTTATGACCATTTTTGCAAATTTGAACGGCTGAATTCAGTTGTGGCGGCAAGAATCACGCTCCTCCGAGTACCCCCACTCCGCCGTTCAGAGGTTGAAAAATGGATACATTTACTTTTACTTGTTATAAATTAAAAATAAATGCACAAAACCTTATGTTTAATTTTTTTACATAAAATACATGTATCAAACTGTAAGTGGTGCGAATTTCAATAAAAAACATTAATAATTAACTTGTCAGGAATTTTTTTTTTAAAAAAAGTTAACTCTCCACCTCTTGAAGTTAGATTGGATTTTTTTTTGGAAAAGTTTTGTGAAAACAAATGAAATCAAATGCCCTTTACACGAAATCGATAAAGTGAAAATTGGCCGAGTTATTCCATTTGTTTATGTCAAAAAAACATACCCTTTTTTAACGTCTATTATTATGCACTTAAATAAAAAAAATCAATTTCCCATTTAAATGGAATTAAAGTTAGACTCCTTAACTGTACTCTCCAAGAAAAAAAAAACGAAATTCGCAGGTCCAAAAGTGGGGAAATTCCGTTGAAAAATTATATGTTTT